ATAAGTAATAAGTAACCTCTCTCCTTCCTCAACCCATCTGCCTTCTGCCAACTGTCACTTTCACTTACACTACCACATCTAACGTCTAGACTATAAACTGTTTGGGGCAGACTTCTCGTCACTCTATGCAGGGCCTAGCACACTTCTGGGTGCTGATGAACCATCACCACAGGGCTTTTAGAAATCACCTTCCTCTACTTGTGGGTATAGGGAAAAGTGAGGAAACAAACAGACCTTTTGTTAGGAATGAGAAGGTGCAATTTCAATTTGAATTTATGCCTACCTTCCACTTTTCTCCCTCAGAAGCAGCTGGTATTGGGCACGGTCAGAGACAGAGTCCTGGACTAGATGGACCTTGGGTCTGATCCAGTATGGATATTCCTAAATGTAGGGTTGTATACAAAACAAAAGACCATCTATGTTATTTTAGGGGGCATTTCAATCAGGATAGCAAGGATTCCAGTGACAAAAGTTTAAAATAGAAACAGTGGTTTCAGGCCTATGCATCCTTTATTTTAACTTAAGGTCCCTCTGCAACATAAACCCACACACGTCCTGCCAGCCACAGATCCAGCCCTCACTCCCCATCCACTATCCTGTCCAATTCTGATGGCAGCAGGCTGTGGCAAATATCTAATTCCTTGACTGTTCTCCCCAGTTCCTGCTTGGAAAAGTGTGCTTTGGTTCCCTCTCCTAGCTTCCTGATCCATGCATGTGTTTGGGAGAGAAGGGGAGGAGGGGGCGTCAATAAAGGCTATAGAGGGTAAGATAGGTTGCTGCCAGTGCCTGGGAAAGTTTGCAGGGATGGCTGGAGCGAAGAAGTAACATGCACAGAGCTGGAGGACCCAGTGAGAGAGGTGGAGGGCACTGTGTGTGTTATGTTGCACAGAGCTCTACAAACCTGGTCCCAACTACAGTCCCTCTGCTCAAGCTGTAGCAGCTCATGCTTTTTACTCTGATAAGAGGCCATTTACAAAGTAAAAGCATAATTAAATGAACATAGCATTTATGGTAAATGTTAACGTCTACTTAATTTTTTAAATTCTGCAATCATAAAAATGCATTCATCATTAGTGGTATTGTGCATTTTGAACTTACATCCCTTTTGTTTTCACAGGGTACATGATCTCTTGATACCATAAATACAAAGAAAAGATAGTTGTTTCACCTGCTAGTATCTTTTACCCTCCTTCTTTCCAATGCAACAACAACAACAACAAAATCTCTGTCCACACAGGCAGCCCTTTATTACTTTAAGGAAATTACTTGTATGAAGTGCAACTCTTCACAGTTGTGACATATGTGCTTTTTTCTTGGCCAGCATAATCTGTCATGTGAATGTCATGTCTACTATAAAAGCAGCAAAGAGTCCTGTGGCACCTTATAGACTAACAGACGCATTGGAGCATGAGCTTTCGTGGGTGAATACCCACTTCGTCCGGATACAGTCATGCATCCGACAAAGTGGGTATTCACCCACGAAAGCTCATGCTTCAATATATCTGTTAGTCTATAAGGTGCCACAGGACTCTTTGCTGCATTTACAGATCCAGACTAAGACGGCTACCCCTTTGATACATGTCTACTATAGTAGGCCAAGGCAACCAGAAGTTAACAGTGGCAGGAGACCTTGTAGAGGTGGAGAAGATAGCTCATGTTATCACTGAACATTTCTTTATATATGTATTACTAGACCACTGGGAGGCCTCATGTGACATTTTAAAATATATTTTATATTATATTTTAGTCATGTTTTACATTTTGTTATACCCAGCTCATATTTCCACTGTTTCCAATTGCTATTAATACAGGGCCAAATCCTGAAATCCATACGCAGACAAAAAACTCCTGCTGAAGTCAATGGGAGCTTTGCTTAGATTGGGACTGTAGTCAGGATGATGATTGATGAGGGTGCGAACACAGCTACACAGATCTGCTGACTTAGTGTGCAAAAGCAGTTTGAGACAGGTCCAGGTGGCAAAGACCAACATGAGCATACAAAGATCTGTGCATTTATCACATGAGACTTACAAGCCTACCACTTGAACCAATAGAATTAGTAACATCCTAAATTATTTGGCCTATACAGCAGCCAGCGAGATTACCATTCATGGACTTTGAAATGAAGAACACTTTACCCTGTTTATGCTTTATGCATGATTAAGTGCCAAGAAAGCAAGCCGTATCGGTGTGACAATCTGTCAAAAAGAGGAACCCTTGCACACTGATAAAGATAACTTGCGAACACTGCTTCAGAGTTGAGCCGCTTGTACTGTTCATATAGCATTAATCACACAAAACTATGTTAAAAGAACATTAAGGTTGCAAATTCAGCACTCAAAAATTAGGAAATGCCAGAATTAAGGTTGCCTATGCAACCTTAATTCGTCCCCCTTGTGTGTATGCATTAATGATACAGTCTTTAATTACATGATCACATACTATTTTTCCACAGGATCTCTTCCTCATTCAGTGCACAGGCTGGATGATGCTCACTAAATGAGCAACTACTCAATATTTTGTTTTCTTCTCATCAGTCAATGTGTGGCCCCATGACTTACTTACTGCACACTTTTCAAACCTTGTTCTGAAGAAAGAATTATTTATTTGCTCCTGAGCTTTTCTATGGCACTCGTTACTATGGTACCCAAGTGCTTTACTAACAATAATTAATTTATTTTCACAAAACCTCTGAGGTGATTAGGTATTACTATGCCCATTCTACAGATGGAGGAACTGAGTTTAAAAGCATCCATTAATTTTGGGTACCCAGTCTGAGATGCCATGGGCTTGGTTTTTCAGAATATTTATTAGCATTACATAGTATTTTGTATGCCCATTGGCTTCAGTTGCAGCCGTGAGTGCTCAGCCCTGGGGATCTTAAATTGGGCACCCAAAAATAGAAAACACAATTAGTGACCATCAGTGAACAGCTGGTTTCAGTGCCTTGCCAAGAATATCTGCTATATGAGAAATCCACCCTTGTTCTTACTGAAATCCTCTGCCCCATTCACTACACACCTTATGGTTAGAACACTAACCTTAGACATGTGAGACCCACATTCATATCCCTCCTCTGGAATGAGCCTGAAATGGACTACACACCTTCCAACTTCTGAAACATCCTACAGAATTTAGGCTGGTTCTTATTTTACGCAAACCACTTCATCCATCCCTAATAAATCCCCATCTCGATATCAGCACAGTTCTGTACTCTATTTAGAAATATTTTCAGTAGCCAAACTAATCAATATCCATCGGTGAAGCAACATTTGCATATCTGAAGTAGCTAGGAATGTACTGAGCAAGCCAGGCAAAAGTAAGCACGTGAGGGCAAAATTAAATTAGGACTGTGAAGATGTAAGCCTCTTCTGGCTATAGGCTAGAAACCATTGCAGCACATTTTTATGTTCAAGATTTCTTTTAAGACCATCTTGTGGGGAATCCTGTCTTGTAAAAGGTCTGAATTAATCCAAAGCTTTCTAATTGCCAACATCATGGCTGCTCTAACATATCCACTCGTTTCTTAACTGAGTAGCTGTGAAGTTATGGGGCAGACAGAAATGAAAGAAACCCAATACACTCGATATTCTGACTACCAATGGCGGAGGATGAAAAGGTATTCCACACTTTACTAGCAGCATGCTAAAATAATTGAATTCTAGTGGCAAGTAGCAAATAAGCAAATTATGAAATTAAAATAGATTATCAAGGGCTCTGCTATTACAGATTGCCATATCGCCAAAGCTTTATAAAGAGAAATATTATCAGTTTCAACGCATTTGAAATATTTGTTAGAAATGATTGTGCCCATAATTTTGTTTTAAGGCCCAATTTTGCCATCAGAATACAAGGTGTAGCTCAGCATACTCAAATAATCTTTCCCACAAGAAATTAACATGCACTTAAATGCTACCACTGAGAGACAGTAATAAAACAAGACCTGCAATTGAACATATTGTGGGATAAATATAACATGGAAATAGATCTGGTTGGAAAAACTCCAACAAAACAATTTTGTCAGAATGTACTGATTTGGCAAGAGTGGCAACATTTCATGAAGACTGTTTGATTCTGACAAAGTTCCTCCATTGCTTGCCTGCACAGCTCCTCAACAACCCGCTAAGTGCACGGCCTGAGGCTGGGAACTCAGGCAGATTCTGCAGCTCCAGTACAGCCTCCCTTCCATCCTTTGTGGCTCTAATTAGTCCACTTGGTAGGCTGCTGAAGAGCCACGGCTCCATTGCCTTTCAAGGAGAATTTCAAAAATTTTGGTTTTCATTCCAAAACTGAACGAAACTGAATTTTGAAAAATTGAAATTCTCAGGTCAGGTCTACACTACAGAGTTAGGTCAATGTAAGGCAGTTTACATCAAACTAATATGTCAGTGTACATACTACAGCCTTGCTGCCGCTGATGTAAGTGCCCTACTACATTGACAGAATAACTCCACCTCCACAAGAGATGTAGGGCTTATGTCAGTGTAGTTAAGGCATACAGACACTGTTACTTACATTGACAAGAATGACAGCCAACAGCCAATTTCATGGCCCACGGCTAGGGCTTGCCGCTCCCAGCCGGGCTCCCCGCACCCAGGGCTCGCCACTCCTTGCTGGGCTGCTGCCCGGGCTCTGAGTCCCCCCACACTGCTCCTCTCAAGTCAGTGGAAGTGCTCCTGGTATGGATGCGCACCACCGACAAAAAGAGGGCAGTGTGGACATGAACTACTGTAGTAATTATTGAGGGGGCTGTAAATTTTAGGTTTGTCGTGTAGACGTGGCCTCAGTGAAATGGAATTACCATTCCTCTACACCAGTGCTCTCCAAACTTTTTTGATTGCGCACCCCATCAGTAAAAAATTTTTGAGCACACACCCCTTGCTCCCGGCCGAACTGCTCAGGGAGGGGGAAAAAAAAAAGCGGCGCTGTTCCGGCGGCGCTCCTCCTGCCACGCACACCGAAGGATCCTCCTGCGCACCCCCTGGGGTGCGTGCACCCCACTTTGGAGACCACTGCTCTACACAGGTCTATGTGGGAAAATGAAAAAATGAATGTTACCTAAAAGACAACCATTATTATATATACATATTCCCAGAGACAAGCTGTATTAAACGGAGCTAAGGTTGAGATTATAAGCAGTAATTTAGGGTAAAATACAGTAGATTCAAATTTAAGTGAAACTTAGCAGAAGTCTCAGCACATTAAATGCAGAAATGCACATTTAGAGCACCCAACTACCTCATATGAAAGCTCTATAGGTTTCCACCTGGGGCATGAAAGTGAGGGGTGTAATCTCTCCAACATTGCCGTCTCAAGACCCCATTTAATCGGCTTTCTTTCACAGGTGAACATTGTAGTGAATGAGGCTGTGTGAGAGAATGGCAGACTTGGAAGGAATTTGCAGTGGCCAGCTGGAGACCTCCGAGAAGTGTTATTCAGCTAGAGTAGAAAGGCTCTGGGGGGAGGAGTGCGGGGAAGAGAGAGGGTCTGGGAGCTAGTACAGAGAATTGCATTGACCTACAGCAATTAAAGAAAGTTGTGGGTTCTGGTGGTGGATCCCCCAAGCAGGGCCGGTGCAACCAATAGGCAGCCTAGGGCACCAAGTGGTTGGGAGCGGCAAAAAGCGGTGCCCCAAACACTTTTTTTAAATAGCGGAGCACAAGGCTGCCGCTGCTCCCCGCCTCCCGGCTCCAGAGGGCCTGCTGCGGTGCGGCCAGTCCTCCCTCCCCGGGGGAACAGCGGGCCGCCGAGGGGGGAAGGGGAAGGTCTAGCGCTAACAGCTGTGCCGTCTTCCCTGCGCCGTGGGCCGAGCTGGGCTCCCCGCCGCTCCCGGGACTCTCGGTGGCAGCGGCAGCAGGCTCGGGCGTGGGGGGGCTGGCTGCCTGTGCCGCCGCTGAGAGCCCCCGGGGGCGGTGGAGAGCCCAGCTCGGCCCGCGGCGCGGGGAAGAAGGCGCAGCTGTGCTCTGCTCTTCGGGCGGAGAAGCTGGGTGTCTACTCCGCCTGCAAGGTACCTAGCCGGGCCGCAGGAAGCCGCACAGGCCGGCGGAGCGCCGGGGGGTGGGCAGGTCCTAGGGTGACCAGATGTCCCGATTTTATAGGGACAGTCCCGATTTTGGGGTCTTTTTCTTATATAGGCTCTTATTACCCCCCACCCCTGTCCCGATTTTTCACGTTTGCTGTCTGGTCACCCTAGCAGGTCCAGTCCCTGGCCTGGGGAATGGTGTATGTGGGAGCAACCCGGGCACCCTTCCTCCAGCCAGCACCACCCCCTCCAACACCCAACGACCAGCTACCTTCTCCCCTGTGCACCCCCCGCCCCAACAACCCACCTTGGCCTGCCACTTTTGCCTTTGGGCAACCTCCACTCAGCAACGCCCCACCCCCGCAGCCAGCCACGGTCACCTTCACCCGCATCAACCTCGGGTCACCCCCCCCCACCTGCCATCTCCCTTCTGCCCACTCCTCCCTTGTCCAAACTCCTCTGTGCCACCTTCACCCCCCTGCAACAACCCCGGGCACAGACACCCCCCACCTGCCAGCCCCTTGCAACAACCCCCTCCTGCCCACTTCTCCCTTGTACAAACCCCTCCCTGCCACCTTCACCCCCTGCAACAAGCCCCTTTTGCCTCTGTGCAATCTCTTCCCTGCCACTACACCCCCGCCCCCTCCACCTCTTGGCCACCTCTACCCCCTGCAACAATCCCATGCACCCCCTCTCTGCCACCTTCACCCCCTGGAAGAGCCCCCATATGACCCCCCTCTTTGCAGCCCCCCCCCCCCATGCTCCCTGCACTTTGTGAACATCTGGGCCCCTGGAGGGAACTTGGCCGTAGGAAGGTGGGGCTGGACATCAGAGGGGGGCGCAAGGTGGAAGTTTTGCCTAGGGCGCAAAATATCCTTGCACCGGCCCTGTCCCCAAGTATCAGGACACAAACCTGATGCCGAGAGATATAAGAATTCCATGAAGGGACACTAGCACAGTTTCTAGAGAGCCTAGTTATAGATGTTTAGGTAGAAATTCAGAAATATTATTCTTTCAAATCAGTCTATGCTCCTGCCTCACTTATTACTGCAAATTCTGGTTTTGGTACATGATGTTCCTTCCAAGAAGCAGGCTGATTAGAAAGGTAACAGCATCTGTTGATATAGATATCAGAATACATCAGCAATAATAAAAAGAGAAAATCCATGTTTTGGGTAGGATTTTCAAAAGCATACAGCATTAGCCCAACTCCACTCCCATGAAGTCAATGGGAGTTTTACCATTGGCTTCAGCAGGAACAGAGTTAGGGTGGGTTTTTCAGAAGTGTTCCACACTGGCCTACGAATTTCATATTATTAGGCCCCAATCCTGCTGTCAGTAGAGCTCTGTGGGGATGCAGAATTCCATACATGCAAAGTAACTTTGAGAATGGGGGCCTCTGAATGAAAAAAAGGCACACACAAGAGGCTTTTGAAAACCTGACTAACACTGTTGGTACTCTTGAGTGCATGTCTCTTTTTAAGCTCATTCTCATCTCTTGAATACTTGTATGGCCTCAACATCACCACTGCCTCACAATGTTTAGTACTTATTCCTTGTGAGGTAGGGTAGTACTATCATCATTTTACAGATGGGAAACTGAGGCACAGAAAAGCTAGTGACTTGCACAAGTCACACAGGAAGTCTGGGACAGAGCAGGGACTTCACAGGTATCCCAAGCCCTAGCCTATTGACCTAAGGAATGGACAATCCTTTCAATTCCATCTTGCTTTGCTCAACCTTTTCCCACTGATATACAGTAAAATTGGAAAATATGAAATATTCATCTGTGCTGACTGGGGAAACTCCAGGACATAATGCAGTGGGGGAAATTATTGCTAATAAGTGCATTGTGCCACTGCAGATTTACCTTTTGTAAAAAAAAAAAAAATACACACACTGTCACAAACCTTCCTAGCTCATCCTAGGAAATTAAAAAAGGCTGACTATATTTTGCCTTTGCATGAGGTGGGAAGAAATGAGAATAGGAATATAAAAAGCCATCTTCAAATTTGAATCATTTACCCAAATCTCAAAGAGAAGAAAAACTTGTTTCTATACTGACTGCTGGCTACTTAAAAAGAAAATTCAGCTAAAAACCTGCCCCAACACTGCTGTGACTGGGAGTGTAGAGTAAATATAGCAACTATTGCATTCTGTAGGAGTCACTGCAAGGTCACCTTTCACACAGAAAACTTAAAACCTTTTACTCACCCTGATGAATTCACAAAGATATATGGAAGAGCTCAGGGTCCACTGGAGTTTTCAGAATAAGAAGGGGGGAGAGAAGATTCTCCTGCTTTGAAAGTGGCAGGTGGAGTTTGAGAAATGAAGAATACTGAAGGGTTCCAAAAGGAGGCCAAGTTTGTCTTCATTTCCCTCTCTTTCTGGCTCTGGAAGTGGCCTGTGACTTTGTCTGTGGGTGTGTGAAGTCTTCTTTGCTCCCTCACTTACTGAGCATAAAGGAGCAGCCTGATTTTATTCTCTGGCAGACATACCAAAATGCTGACAAGCACAGTGTATTATTCACTTACACTGTCTATATATCATTGCCCTGCTCTGTTATCAAAGAAAATTATTGTGACTGGGGGAAAGGTGAAAAATAGTACAGAACAGAATTATAGGCCTCTATACACAATATTTTATTTTCAAATTTACAAGCAGCAAAACATTGAGACAAAGAAGGCTCAGCTCCTGTAAGTCACTGTAGAACCATAGGAAGCATTTTTGGCTCTCTCCTGTAAGTACAGTTGTGCTCTTCATGTTTCCCTCCAGAATCCTTAACCTTGTGTCAGAAGCTTCAATACATAAATATAAATGTCATTCTAAAGCTACTATACTGCTAGAGTCAGGGAGGACTGTAATTAGTTTAAAGCTGAACACTTCACACTTCTATAACATCTTGCATCCAAAGATCTCAAAGCAGCTTAAAAAAGTTAATTATTTAAACACTACAATATGTCTTTGAAGTACATGTTAGAGGGAAACAGAAACAGACAGTTAAGTGACTTTCCCAAGTTTGCATGGCAAGTCAGTGGCACAGCCACCAATATAACCTTGGCATCCTGATGCCCAGGTCCCCTGCACTAGCCACAACCCCTCCCCAACCTTAAATCACTCTCTGCATAAAACATTTCTGTCAACTCTTAATTATTAAGTGCAGGGGGTTAAGATATGCAGATGGTTACTGCATGAGGCCTTTCAGCTAAATTCTAAGAAGAAGGAAAACATGGTCTTGTGTGTAACCATCTTTGGGTTCATTCAATAACAAGCTAGTGAATGAGAAAGGAATACAACGTCAATTAAAACAAACTGGAGAGCATCTCTGGTGAACTGCTGCACACAAACATGCGGTGTTCCCAACCTCCCCCTCCAAGGCACAGCTCCAGATTCCCACACTCAACATAGTCCCTTATGAAGGAGCATTTCCAAATCACAGTCTTTCATAAACATATCTCTACATTGTGGTTAATCAATTGAACTGGGCCCCTGAAGATATGGGTTCAGTCCTCAGCTCAATCACAAATTTCCTGTGTGTTCTTGGGCAAGTCACTTAAGCTCCCTGTGACTCAGTTTACTGTCTGGATAAGGAGGTTAATAAAAGTTCCTTAACTCACAGGGATGTTGCAAGAATCAGGACTCATATTTTTACAGTTCACATGTAGGCTTGGAAGGATTAGATTTATCAGCAAATGTCAGTAAATGTTCATTTCAGCACACACACACGCGTGTACGTGAAGAGATATTTCCGTCAATAATAAAAGAAATGTACAGATAGGCCAAGTAAGAAAAATGCTTCTTAAGGACTTAGTTTGATTTAAAGATATTTACTTTGTATATTTTGACAGTTTATGTTTTAATGGTTATAAAGTTTTAACCATTTGAATCTCAACATCTAGTCATTAAATAGTTATTGTCTGAACCCTTCCCCCATAACTGTGCACAATGGATAATTTTAGTTGATAAAAATAAAAAGGTGCTTAAAAATAAAACTGATATCGTCCATGAAAATTATTTTAAAAACACACCCTGAATTCTGCCAACACTACTTACAGGGTGCTATGATACTGCAAGGATGAAGTATAACCAAGGGCTTGTCTTCACTACCGTGCTACATTGGCCACTGCATTGATGCAGCGGTGCCGAGGTAGTGCGTCTGGTGAAGATGCACTATGTTGACAGGTGACTGCTCTCCCGTCGATGTAATTACTCCACCTCAATGAGAGGCGGAAGCTATATCGGTGGGAGAATATCTCCCACCAACATAAAGCGGTGTATACACCGCGCTAAGTCAATGTAACTTACATCACTCAGGGGGGTGATTTTGTCATCCCCCTGAACAACATAAGTTACATCAACTTACGCGGTAGTATAGACAAGCCCTTAGACAGAAATATCTACGGAGGGAGCCTGGTACCCAAACAATATGTGGAGATTATGCATCTTTTTCAGCAAATCAGTAAAGTTACTTACTTAATGAAAAAGGGGGCGGGAGCTTGCTGAGACTGGCAAAAAAATCTCTGGTTTTCTGGACTCCAGGTAGCCTCACAGTCAGGTTCATGTTGTGAACTATTGGCTCTGTTTGGTGCTGATGACTCCGAGCATCACAGTGGCATTGCTTTAAGCATCAGCTTTGAAGGGTCTCCTAGAAAAGTGATCTCCCTGATAGTCCAAGAGCTTCAGCAAGTTGAGTACTGAAAACAGTTCAGCCCCAGCAGCTGATACAACAATTGTAATTCTGACTTGAGTCATTTATGTTGATAACAATGTCTGGGTTCATTTCTCAGAAGCCCCCTTTTCTGCTTTATATTTTTTCTATAAAAAGAATTATCCTCTTCACATATAAACCATCTGCAAAATAAATATTTCTTTAGGGAATCTCTGTGATTTTACTATGTCATTTAACCTATAATTTACATTACATTTTTGAAAGAAACATACACACACGTACAGTTATTCAGTGTCACTTCATATTTCAGCATCCCCAATGGTACAGCATGTTCCATTTCTACACTGTTCCACTACAGAGTTAACCTGTGTTTGCAAAATAAATATTTGCCATATGTGCCACATTAATCACAACTCTGCTGCTAGAAAATTTATAAAATCAAAAACCTTGTCCTAGGGTTTGCAGCTGTTCCCAATGAAATCAAGGTTAAGACTATGAGCAAGGTTAGACCCAAATCTTCCTGCCCCCTCTCCCTGCCTAACAGGGCCAGCTCCAGGCACCAGCTTGTCAAGAAGGTGCTTGGGGCGGCCGCTCCGGAGAGGGGCGGCACGTCCAGGTATTCGGCGGCAATTCGGCGGACGGTCCCTCACTCAGCCTCGGAGCGAAGGACCTCCCGCCGAATTGCTGCCACAGATCGCGATAGCGGCTTTTTTTTTTTTGGCTGCTTGGGGCGGCCAAAACCCTGGAGCCGGCCCTGCTGCCTAAGAAACCAGGCCAGGTGCAGAAGATTTTCATGGGTACTGGTGGGGAGCAATGCTCTTTGTAAGGCTTCTGAGTGGCAGCCTTAAGAGTGTAGTATCCCCTGAAGCTGCTATTCTCCCATTGTCTGGCAAGGCAGTGCCTCAAAGATCTTTTGTGCTGCTGGATCCACCAGTCTACTCCCACTTTTCCTTAGCCTCTCTCTGTCCTGATATCAAAATGCTGCTGTTCAGGGTTCACAGAGGAAGCCTGTACAGAGCAGATTCTACTGCACGCCCGGTGTGCAGATGTTCTGCACATGTTCTGTTCTCTTTTCAACCAGTGGAACTGCACCAGTTCTATTGGTTCGGCAGCCTTCCAAAGCCTCAGAGGAGACCACAGTAGTTTGCTCAGAATGCAAACACACACTGCGTGAGCCTTAAGTCTTAATTTATGAGGCTTTGCCAGTATAAAAGATTCAACAAAGTAATCTCAGCACAGATTTTTCTTCTTGGACCCAGGAAGAGTGAGCAGAGTGCTGTTGCTGAGTAGACATGTCTGTTCTTCTGTGAAAGATTGTTGAATGGGAGGGGGGGGGGAAGCCATGATTGCATGAAAATCTCATTATAGTAATTGCGGCTGCAGAATCAGGGAATTCATGGGGCCCTGGCTATAATATTCAGCTCAGAACATTTCTGAAAAGAAAAAAATATAGAGGTCTTACCGAGAAAGAGAACTACTTTTTCTTTCCTTTTCTTTACCTTCCTACTAAGCTGATGAAAGAGATAGTAAAACCTTCCAGCCAATAATTTTCTATGCCCCCCCCTTCACAAAATCCTTTAAAAATCCATTAACTGGGGTAAATTTAAGGAAGTAGGCCCAGAAGGTAAATTCACCATAGAGGACCAGTGAGAGTACTAAGTGGTGGGGATGGTGAAAGGAGAGATCAAGATTTTTTTTTCTTTTTAAAATAAGCCCCTGCTTATTCCCAACCCACCCTCTGAATCTCTCTCTCCTTCAACAAACACACCTTTCACATCACTCTCTCCCCTTCTTCCTCCCAGCGTTCTCTCACTCTGTCTGTCACACGCAGACCACTCTGTTTCCCTCCCCTACACACAGATAGCCCCCAAACACGATTCAGTCATACAGCTACCAGCACCACCATCATAAAGCTCTTTACTTCCCCTTAGGCCCTGGTAAGTGAGACTGCCATAAACATACAGTTAATGGTTTATTCCTCTTTTACCTGTAAAGGATTAACAAGCTCACATAACCTAGCTGACACCTGACCAGAAGGACCAATAAGGGGACAAGATACTTTAAAATCTGGAAGGGGGAAAAAACACACACAGCACTTTTGTCTGTGCTGTGTGTGCTTTTGCCGGAAACAGAGAAAGAAGGAACCATCCAACTCCTATAGGGTAGTGAGTATTTAGAGAAGGAATGTGTTAGATTACTTTTATTTTCTTGTTTGTGGGTTCTTTTGCAAATAAGAGGGAAGATAAATGTGGGTTCTTTGTGTAACTTTAAAGTTTTGCCCAGAGGGAAACCCTCTGTGTTTTAAATTGATTGTCTGTGAGACTATCTTTCATCCTAATCTTACAGAGGTACTCCTTTCACCTTTTGTCTTTAATTAAAATTCTTCTTTTAAGAACCTGATTGATTTTTCATTGTTTTAAGATCCAAGGGTTTTGGATCTGTGTTCACCAGGACTAACTGGTGAGGGGGATTCTCAAGCCTACCCAGGAAAAGGGGTGTAGGGGTTTGGGGGAGGAATCATTCTCAAGTCTGCCCAGGAAAGGGGGTTAGGGACTTAGGAGATATTTGGGGAAAGGCAGAGTTCCAAGTGGCTCTCCCTAAATATTTGGTTAATGCTTGGTGGTGGCAGCGTACTGTTAACCTAAGCTGGTAAAAATAAGTTTAGGGGGTGTTTCATGCAGGTCCTCACATCTGTACCCTAAAGTTCAGAGTGGGGAGGGAACCTTGACAGAGACAGTGGGAAAAAAATCACCCAGACCTAGTAGGACTTCTGGGA